AAAACACACTTAGATCGGGATAAAAATATATTGCCGGAAAAAAAATTCGCCGCAAAAAATGATGTTTGTGAAATTCCGACGACCACCATTTTATGCCGCTGGTGACCGAAACAAAAAGAAAGAGAATAAAATAACCAAAAAAATTAAGAATAATAAGAAATAAGAAAAAAGGATAAGAAAAAAGAAGAAAGAATAAAAAAAAGTACTAAAAATACATGTGGAAGCGCGTGTAGCTCACCACTTGTTAAGAGTTTGGTTGTCAGCGTTAAGGGTGCAAATAATTACATTTAAAATAAGTTTAGGGGGATAATAGGATTCCCACAAAGAAAAAGTGTGTAGTTGGGAATCCGGGTATAGGTCAGGGGGGTACTTATGCATTTTCCCTAGCTTCTTTTATGCTTGATATATATATATATATATATATATATTTGACGTACATAATCTTTTCGTATTAGATCATTTGGTGCTTTTGTTAACATCATTACGTGAGAATTATGAACTGATCGAGTTTATTCCCGACGAATTGAAAGCAATGAATTATTAGTGATTGCATGGCTGTTTTTGTCTACATAATAAAAACCAAATCACATACTCTATATGTCTTTTATCCCAATGTTTTTCCTTTTTTGCGTAAAGGATGCATTTTATTAAAACAGATTTGGAGGAGCTGTAAGCATAAACTATAATTCTACCAGGATTTTGAACATGATAATCTTACATGTAATCGTCATAGAAAATATACCTGAAGCGGAATCCATTATCTTGAAGCGGAAGCGTTAATCAGTAAATTGGTTTCTCGCCCCTTGCCCTAGCTTTCGTTACCGCTGCCTTTAGTGATGGAAGAAAGAAATAAATACGGTAACCCTAATGGGTGGGGAGAGGACCAATTTATAGAGGTTCTCACTTAATCTGGTACGTCCGTCAAGTAACCAATCGGACGGATGAGTTTGATAATTAATTAAATATTAATTATGGGCCTTAACCTATTGGGCCACATACACGTAGGAAAATAACTTACATTCTCCCACTTGGCCCAATAATCACATAATATTAATATTTAATATAGGAACATTAGTTGCGCATAAACAAATCTCTTCTATAATGTCCATCATAAATACCATAATACGATAAACTACTAAAGGTGAGTTATGGCGGTTATATATATTTGTCTACATACTCCCTTCCATATATTACAACATTAGTAACTCATCGCACTAGGTCCATAAGCTATAAAATATTATGGTCCACAATAGTGTCTCATTGAGACTTATCCTGTAACATCTCAAAACGATAATGCGTATACCATTATGAGAAACAGGAAATCACTAATGTATATCAAAAATACATAAATGAGCTCAGAGTGTCAAAACATTATAAATACATCAATCATAAATACAGCCAAGACCCTTTCTATGTACATGTTCTTTAAATATCTTTGGCTGTAAACGTTTCGTTAACGGATCTGCAATCATGAGATCAGTTCTAATATGCTCAAGTGACACTCTTTGTTTCTGAACTGCCTCCTTGACGGTAAAGTACTTTAATTCCATATGTTTGGCACCTTTTTTGAAGTACTTATCGTTCTTGGAGAAGAATACTGCTGCAGAATTATCACAGTAAATTTTCAGCGGCTTGATAAAGGTGTCGACAACCCCAAGTCCTGAAATAAAGTTTCGCAGCCATAATGCATGAATTGTGGCTTCAAAACATGCCACAAATTCTGCTTCCATCGTGGATGTAGCAATGACAGACTGTTTGGCACTCTTCCATGATATTGCTCCTTCAGATAATTGTAACAAATAACCAAATGTGGATTTTCTAGTGTCAATACATCCAGCGAAATCTGAATCCGAGTATCCAACAACTTCCAAATGCTTGGATCTCCTATACATGAGCATGTAATCCTTCGTTCCTTTCAGGTACCTCAAAACTTTCTTTGCAACTTTCCAATGATCACTTCCTGGGTTACTCTGATATCTTCCCAACATTCCGATCGCAAAATTAATATCCGGTCTTGTGCAAGTCTGAGCATACATCAGACTACCAACAATAGAAGAGTAAGGAATTGATTCTATTTCTTTTCACTCTACATCATTCTTAGGGCATTGCATGAGACTAAATTTGTCCCCTTTTTGGATCGGAACTATTCCTGCTGAATAATTGTTCATATTAAATCTCTCTAGAACTCTTTCAATATAGCCTTTCTGAGACAATCCCAATAATCTTTGTGATCTATCACAGAATATTTCTATTCCTATCACATAGGATGCCTCACCCATATCTTTCATTTCAAAATTCTTAGAGAGAAAATCTCTGGTCTCACGCAATATGCCTGAATCATTAGCAGCAAGTAGAATATCATCAACATATAGGACTAAAAATATAAACTTGCTCCCACTGATCTTTTGGTATATACACCGATCAACGGTGTTTTCCACAAATCCAAAAGATGTTATGGTATCATTAAACTTTATATACCATTGTTGTGAGGCTTGTTTAAGTCCATATATTGACTTCTTCAGTTTACACACCATTTGGCCTTTTCCTTTAGTTTCGAAACCCTCTGGTTGGTCCATATAAACTTCCTCCTCGAGATCTCCATTAAGAAAGGCAGTTTTCACATCCATTTGGTGTAACTCTAAATCATAATGAGCCACCAAAGCCATAATAATTCTTAACGAGTCTTTCTTTGAGACCGGTGAAAAAGTCTCTTTATAATCAATGCCTTCTTTCTGGGTATAACCCTTGGCAACAAGTCTGGCTTTGTATCTCTCAATATTGCCATTGAATCGTGTTTGGTCTTAAAGACCCATCTATACCCGATTCTTTTAGAACTTTCTGGCAATTCAACAAGATCCCAGACTTTATTGTATTTCATGGATTTTAACTCTTCCTTCATGGCATCAATCCATTTGTCAGACTCATTACTTTCTATGGCTTGTGAAAATGGAACCTGACCCTTATTAAGGCCAATGTCAAAATCTGACTCTTGCAAATAAACCACGTAATCATCCGAAATAGCCGATTTTCTAACTCTTTGAGATTTTCTTAATGGAATTTCTTGTGGTTCATTTGTGTCAGATATTTTTGAGTTAGTTTCTTCATGAAGTGTTTCATCCAAATGTTGCTCGGTGTTGTCAAAGTGTTCTTCAACAATTGGAACAATATTTGGTATTTGTATGGAAGTAGGCACATTTCTGGGTAATAGAATATTGACCCTCGCCTCTTTAATTTCCACACTTTGCTTTTCAACACTCCCACTAACTTCACCATTCTCAATGAATCTTGTATTACCGGTTTCAACAATTCTCGAACTATGGTTTGGACAGTAAAACACCCTTTAGATTTCTCTAGGTAACCAATAAAGTAACCACTTACTGTTCGAGAATCTAATTTCTTTTCTTGTGGATTATAGACTCTAGCTTCTGCTGGGCAACCCCAAACATGCAGGTGCCTTAAACTAGGTTTCCTTTCTGTCCACAGTTCAAAAGGGGTCTTTGGAACTGCCTTACTAGGAACCCTGTTTAATAAATATACAACGTTTTTAAGAGCATACATCCACAATAATTTGGGTAATGAGGAATTACTTATCATGCTCTGAACCATATCCATAAGTGTTCGATTACGCCTTTATGCAACACCGTTTTGTTGAGGTATTCGTGGCATAGTATACTGTGCACATATGCCACGTTCCTCGAGGAACTTTGCAAATGGACCTGAACATTGTCCTGACTCATTGTATTTTCCATAATATTCACCACCTCTATCTGACCTAATGATTTTCACCTTTTTATCTAATTGCCTTTCAACCTCATTAACAAAGACCTTGAGAGCATCTGCTGCTTGAGATTTTTCTTTCAGCAAGTAGATGTATCCATAACGTGAAAAATTATCGATAAAAGTGACAAAATATTTCTCTCACCAAAAGATGGAACATTAAAGGTTCCACAAATATCGGTGTGTATAATTTCAAGAAGCTGGGTGCTTCTTGTGGCTCCTTTCTTACTATGCTTGGTTTGCTTTCCTTTAATTCAATCCAAACAT